TCCTCCAGTTAGGCGGGTGAATGCCCTTAGACATCTCCAACAGTTAAAGGAAGAAAATGCCAAATAATTCCAGGCTCAGAAATTTTTACTTGCAACTCTCTTAGAAAATGTCGTCTGAAGAAACTGTTAATTAGCCATTTGGTAAAGAAAAATATGTGTAGTGGAGTCTATAGAACATTTAAAAATCATTTTGATCATAACTGGCTATATTTCGAATCTTTCATGAGGTGATTATTATTCTTAAGCATAAAAATTTTGTAAAAGTGTAAGATTGTCCCGTCATACCTATCATACAGTTAAAATGATCTTACGAGATAACCATGTGACTTCTACCACAGGCGTAAACAATAATAGCAGAGAAGAAGAAGGTAAAACAACCCTTTATATTCGTCAAACTCTTAACACCAAATACACGGACTTCGTGCTTAAAATAACACCGATGACTTGCGGTGGAATTTAAGAATAGTTCACAATAAATTCAAAGAGTAGTGCTGGACTAACAATTTGATTTAAGGCTAGCGAGGCTGATTCAACAACCTACCCGGCGATATACTTATTAAATTGCCAAACATACGTATCAGAAAATCCGCGTAAGAGCAAGGGCAACTAGTAATGTACGCTGTCTAGCGAAATCACGTTCTGAATAAACTACAAGATTCGTTCGTTTAAATACTCATTCCATTTAACTTTAAGTTTGCATCCTGGCGAGGAAATGCGAGGGGAAAATGAGAGGTTCAGGAAAGATACCAAACGTAAAATAATTTGCTATGCAAACTAAGGGAAACCCTACAGAAGAAGGTAAATATATGAATTGAGAAATCAAAGTTCAATTAATTAATAGGCAGAAAAATCCTTGTAATGATAACCAGCTTTATTTCTAAGCTTCTATGCACTTTTTATAATTCTTAAGCATAGAACTTTTCAAAAGGAAATTTTACTTCATTATAATGATTTTTTCCCTCTTTAAGTGTGCATAAATCATTGATATGTGAATCTTAAGAGATCCTTTGAGCATGATAAAATATATTTTTTGGGTATACTTGTGCTTCGCAAAATTATTGGTCAATAATATTTTATTTTAATTTTAATGATTGCACATTGCAGAAATTGTGAGAATATTTTGGAACATACGGATTATGTAAATAATTTTGATAGCCGTCCTCGGAACACTTCAGATATGAAAATAGATTTTTAAATGTTTCATTAATAAACCAATTTCAATTAATTCAATTAAAGCATCACATCTATGACATCAATGGAGATCGACTAATATCGACAATATGCACCCGTAGTCGGCTGATAACTGATGATCACAGAGGACTAAAAATTGACAGATAGTGTAGGAAAACCTGCAGAAACTGTTAGTTATATCTTTCGGGACAAAGAACTGAAAATTGCACATATTTTTGATTGCCCAGCCATCTTTGCTGAATTGATAAAATGTGGGGTCTTGTTTAAGAGACCGAACCCCTCGATGATAACATTATGCAAAGTGCGAGGGCTGTCATCTTCTGTCATTTTACCCCATTGCACTATTCGAATAGGTTCCATCATACACAGGACAAGAATAACAGCAGCAATAGACCCATTTTCTCCCCAACAATTGTTAATGACTAAATTCTGGAGAACATGATTGTATAAAAAGTTTTATTTAATAAAATGCTTCTGTAATTAAAAAAAATCACTTTTTTTTTTCCATGTCCATATTTCTTTCAGTTGGCAAAACTTCTAACCTACCACATTTAAAAATACGCGAAGCAAAATGTTTGAACTTATATATATAATGATGTATTGGTTATTTCTTTAGGATTGAATTGTATTTTAAGTTATATTATCATATTCTAGGAAGTATTTTTCATTTACTGTAATACTACCAGAAATTGTTTATTTAAATATTAGAATTTTATTTACGTATTAAATGGCGCTTTTAATATTTTAGAGTTTTAGTAATATCAACTTCAGAGTTGATAAATTTAATTTTATAAGCTAAGGTTTTACGTATTTACATTTCTTGCATTCTCTGAGGTGTTCTAGTAGTATATATAATATATATTACTAGAACCACATATAGTTTTTATCGAACCTGGTGTGCAAAATGTAATTTGTAGCCATTTGTCAACTGTAACTGAATCATCTAAAATCTATAATCGATTAATCAAATCAAATGTAATCTGTAATCGATTATAATCTGATTGCGGCTACTTTAAAAAGAATATATAAGGAAGGTAACTACGTCATTATATACCTGTTTAGAAACTACAGCATGGCTTCAAGACCTCGTGTATTAGATTATAATATTTTAGTAATTCTTTCTGTGTAGAGATAAAAAACTGTAATCTGAAAGACTAAAATGTTAAATGTGATTAGAAGCATGTCTTTGTCACTTGGCGACAGAACCTCATTCATCTTTAGATATTCATTAGCACACGACTTAGACCTTTACTTGAAACAGGCAGACTGACAGGTAATACCCCAGGATCATATCCAATTTAAGTCTATGCCACAACAATACAAGAACTTAGGTTTGGTGTTGGGCGCTTTAGAAAATACTGATTTTGAAACAGTAATATAGTTGTAATGGCGGGAAACTTTCATTACTTAATTGCATTATAGTTAGTTATAAGCGGCATTCAAGTCTTTTTTTCTAAAGATTTCTTCATATGCAATTCTCATAAACTTAAGTACATAATTTGTATTATAATTAGTAATATGCGGCATGCAGATCTTTTTATTCTCAGGATTTCTTCATGGTGCTGCAATTTTTAGAAATATAAGTGCATCATTTTTATTATAAGTGTAATATGAAGCATGCAAGTATTTTTAATCTGAAGTTTTCTTCATCATGCTACGATTTTGAAAAACATATGTGCGGTGATTTTGTACTAACACTCACAAATTGAATTTAAGCTACAGGCTTGAATAGCAGAAGCATTTGATATTTTTTATTGATTTTAAATATGTATAAAGCTGTTTTAACTTCCAATTAAAATTTTTATTTTCAAATGCATTTTCAAAGCCTCATTTAAAATCTTTTCCTTAGTCAGTGATATTAACAGACAAAAGTCCTCTTGCTCTGTAATATTTTTATAATTAAAATAGTTTAATTTAAAACTTAGTTAATACTTCGCACTATATCTACATTAAAGACTTACTTGAATATTCCACCTGAAAAAGATCAGCAATTACCCAATTAAATCTATTAGTATTTTTTACTAATCCATTCGTTAATAAAATGCTTGATTTTAAAAAAGGCAACAAATAAACTGTGCTTTCATAAAGAAATATTGCTTTTACCTAAAATACAAACTTTACTCTTTTAAATATATTATTATTTGTATTCCTAATTTTTCATATTTTTAGAGTTTCAAAAATATCATGATGTTTATTAAACTTTCTGTGCAATTTTATGCCTAAATTGTCCTTCATATGTACAGAAGACTTACTATAACGATATAATTAACAGGAAAAAAACAAATCATATACATTGCACTCCGAACAAATCTTTGAAAATATGTGAATACATTTTTTAACGTAGGATTACGTTCCTCCATAATGGTCTAATGAAAAAGCAAAAATTAAGGCGCTATTTGAGGTGTGAGAGGATGCTTATATCTTCGAAACTACAATTCATCTAAACATATCACTAGACAGATGAAAGAGCGTATTGAAAAAAAAAAAAAAAAAATCTTTGATTGGATAAAATGTCGATGAAGTCAAAGCTCCAGGCGCATGCGCAAGCCCGCGTGAGTGGCAAGATCGTACAAGTCGCATGTACACAGTCAGTGTGTTGAGGGTGATATTTGCTGTACTTCATTTTATTTCCCCAAGCTAGTGGCGTTGCAATTTATAGAAATTTGATCAGTATAGCAGATTACGCAGGAATAGAGTTTACTGATAAGCAGCGTGAAACAATATAGGATTCACAAACATGTATATATGGCTGATGTAATTGCTAATGGACACTCAAGATTTTATCTAGCACACGTATATATTTACCCAACTGATAATTCAGGAGACTTGAAGATGTTCTTGTTAAGAGAATTGACTAAATATTCTGAGGCTACTGTGTCGATCAATGAAGAGTTTACTGCAGATACAGATGCTCCTATTATTATGATGGGACATTTTGCAGAGATATTAGGTTATTTTTTTAAAACAAGAGAGATTGAAAAATTAGCAACGCCTTCACCAGGAATCGAACGGCGGACCTCTGGAATACGCGCCCAGCGTGCAGACCACCCCACCACGAAGGCATGCCAAGAAGGCGGAAAAAATGCCTTATATACTCCCGCTTTTTTTAAAGGGCGACTGGGGATTTTTTAGGGGACCCAATCACCAAATCCTGGCTATGGAGAATCATCCAGCACTCTTTTAGTTCGGGGGCCACTGTAGAGACATTAAGTATTTTTGGAAGCAGTAGAGATGAAAAATGAGCAACGCCTTCGCCGGGAATCGAACCGCGGACCTCTGGAATACGCGCCCAACGTGCGGATCACCACACCACGAAGGCATGCCAATATTTACTGGAATATGGCTGCAAATATTTAAAAATATGTATCGTATTTCTCATTCCATCGATCAATTTTACATAGGATTAATTTGACTGAATAAATGTAATAAATAAAAAACAAAAAATATAATATATATGTACGTAAATTCTTTTATTTGTTTTGTTTGTCCTCTAAGGTGCACACACTTCCGTTAGTAATGCTATGCATTGAACACCAACCGCTCTTTAAACTAAAAGAGAAAGGCCTAAAGTCAATTTTTATTATATGTTATAGATCTTACATGAAACCTCAATCCGGTTCATACCTTACCAAAGAAAAATAAATACAATCCTAGATAAGTTGCCTATCCATGTATTATGGAGAATTGTATAAAAGGCACCTTTTTCGATCGTTACATATTGGTTATTTAAAAATAAGTCATTAAATTACATCGTATGACATTTGCTATTTATTATTTACAAGTAATAAATGTGTTTTCAGAGTTCTTACCTCTAATTAAGAGTTCTGTCTCGGCCCTTTCCTGCCCGTTGCTGTTATTCACAATGCAAACATATTTTCCTCCATCCTGAATGGTGGCTTTCCTAATTAGCAAAGTTCCGTTTAATTCTGTTATTCTTTGACTGGATGAATCCACTTTTTTAACTCCATGAGAAGGCCCTTCTCGCAGGCGATACCAACTAAAAATAACAAATAATCAATTAATATTGCATACGCTGCTTCATATCAATAACCACTGAATTTTTGGATAGCATTTATTAAGACACTAAGTATCAGATAATAATCTAAAATGCTTTCTACTTCGAAATTTAAAACAATTGTCGTTGATACAATATTATACACGACGTAAAACAAGTAGCAATTTAAAATTTTAAGAAGGCTTAGAATATAATAACTTTATAACAGGAGCCTGTGTCCTTCAGAGTATTTGAATTGGCACGCTAGGTTTGGGAGGAATAGCAGTGAGTAAAAGGAATATTTGGTAGTTAAGGTATGAGCACAAGATGACCTTCAATGTTTTATAAATTACGTTTGTATATCTCGTTATTTCTTAGTGCTGAAGGTATAATCAGCCTTCATTACTTCAGCCCATTGTCTGCGGGTTTATTTCAGTTTAAATTTCTTTAAACTGAAAGGAATGTACTGATTTGAAATGAGCACAGCTCCTAATGGAAAGTTGCTGTATTATGAACTAAGTTCTAATACGTTTCATAAATTTCGCAGCACGTTTCTTTAATTCACTTACATGTACAAAGATATCAGGTACTGTATAAAGCTCTCTTATAAAAATTTAAGTATGATTATTAGTAAAATTACGTAATGCATAGTATTCATATTTTTTAAAGATACTTCTATATCACAGAACAAAATTAGAATCACTTTACCGAAAGACTGCCAAATATTTTAGACATTACAATAATTCCTTTATTTCCTACAAGGAAGTAATTAATTACATTTTCATTTATTATTATTATTACTAAATAAGGTTACCAAAAATTTGAAAATGAAGGGAAGAAGTACTATGAAATGTGAAGTAAAATGAAGTGTGACTCTCTGTAAGACAAACCAGATTGTTTTTTCTGCGATCAGGTATCGGTTTACTACTTAGGATGAAAAGGGGTCTCGCTTATAATCTCAGCTTTTAACAGGTTCCAGAAACCATATTTACGTTCATCACAATCAAGCCCACAGCGGTCGAGCAGTAAAGTCGCTGTACACTCGTAATTCGGTCTGGGGTTCGAATTCCAGCGAACGGGCTTTCCACATGGATGTTTTGTGGTTTTCCCCATGTTTAATGTGTATAATAGCCAGATAACGTGTATAATAGTTTCTGTGCTTTACCATAATCAATTAAACTAAACCAAACTGTTGGGTTAAATCAACTTAGGAAAAAATTACTTATATATTCTCATCTTTAGTTTAATTTTCTCCCTTTTTTGTTTTCTGGTTTTTAAACTTTGTGTACATGCTTTGGAATATCGGAAACTGCTTATTCAAACTAGTTGCTTATTTAAATTTCTACAGTTGTATAAAAGCCCATTTGATTGCATTTCAGATCTGCATATTTTTATTCGTTACAGAAACGTAGAAATAGTATTTTGATTTATCATAATGTTAGTAACCGATGTTTTGCAATAGAGTTTTAATAGCTCTTATTAGAGATCGAATATTAAAAAATAAAATGCAAATTGATGTTTCTAAATTTATTACTGAGCAATAAATTCAGTTTTTTTTCCAAAAGTTATAATATAATGAAATGTTTATTTAAATATTCATTGGCGATCTTTTTAAGATATTCTCCATTGATGATGGCAAAAACTATGCAAATACCAAAGTGAAAATATCAAACTATGGCATCTTAACTTGTAAATTTATTTTCATATCATTTTCTAAATTTCTAAGTCGAACGGTAAATTTAAGCGTTTATAATGCAAAATATTTTTCAGTTACCGCACGAGTAAAACGATACAATGGATAACTAGAAATTAGGCTTTTAAAAAAGGATTCCGTTCTATTAAAACCATCGAGAAAGTCCGAAAAACGTGAATGCTTTATTTTGGAAGGTATCTGGATTACCTCTTATTCACATTCCATGAATCGCTGAATCCTCATACAAATGCAAATTGGAAATCGCTCGTGCAGCAAAAAGCGAAATTCGTGAGAGGAATCATTTCCGTCAAACACAGAGTCAATTTGCATTCTTCAATGCAATATACGTCAAAGTCAAAGCTTCAAGTTAAAAAATAAATACATTTTGGGCGCTTTACATATAAAGATCATACTAAATCTCGAGCATTGAAAATAACATATATGAATATGTTCAGGAAAAATTCCATGCATTTATGTAAGAAATTCAGTTCATTTTAGATAAACATACTTTAGTATGCTGCTAGAAATAAGAAAATTATGTAGGAAAATCGCTGCTTTACCTGTAGGGTACGGGAAAAATGACAGCAGCAGAATTTTAAACAGGTAGGTTTAGTATCTTTTAACATAATGCACTATATAAATTAGCTTATAGGAAATTTCTATGCTTAAAAACACAGAGTAAAATCTAATTAAAAGTGAATCTTAACTATCCCTACAGATACGAATTGGTTTAAATCAGCAGTATTTGGTAAAATTCATAAAATCGTGAGTCAACCACATTAGATTTCTACGAGTTTGGTGTATTAAAACGTTCCAGGACTCGTGTTTCCCAAAAGGTACAAATTATGCTATTTCTGCAAACCCGACTGGATAACCTAACCAATGACCTTTGGTGTCACGTGTATCAAGTGAGTGCATTCATTTCTGACTATTTAGACAGCATTCATTTGCATAAACAGTGTATATGAGTGATTGTTATCGAAAAAAATGGCGCAAAGAAGAAGATCAATTTTTTTTTAACTGCAAAAATCGTCAACAGAAGCATAAGAAAGAGCTAAATCTGCATATGATGACGGTGCTCTGAATCGTTCGCAAGTATCTGAGTGATTTTCGAGGTTTAAATGTTGAAGGAACATGGCAGAAGACGATAATGATGTTCGAGTGGAAGCGATGAAAATGTTGAGCATGTGCAAGCGCTGGTGAGATCCTACCGTCGGAATAAATTGAAAAACAGTTGCACAGTCCTTAAATATTAGTGAGTGATCTGTTCCGCGACCTGTTTTCGATTTCTGTTTCTGGGCTAATTGCCCCTTTGGGCTAAAGAACACTCGGTATGGCCTTTATGCATCAGAATCTGATACCTTAACCAAAAGAATAACGAGTATCCATCTGCAATGATGTGATTATCGATTATCATGACAAATCATGATCCGCCATTCTGCAAATCAGGATCTACCATTGTTCACAAGGAGAGACTTTGGGGTCTCGTGCACAATCGGAGACAAAACGCCAAAGTGCTACTTGGACAAGTCCGAAAAATAATCGGCCGTTTTGAAATCAAAAATACAAAAGATGTTGATTATATTTTTTTAACAGTTGTATCATTCATACATAATTTAGTCGCCAGTCTTTCCGTTTCTCGAACAGTATACAAAGACGTTCAGGATCGACATTTCAAACGAATGCGGCGTGTAAGACCCTATTCGTTTGACTGTGGAGATTGGTGCTTCTTTGTACGGCAATGCACCATCTCACAAGTCTATCCCTGTGCAGCAGGTTTGCTCAGAAGACAGGTTGCGTGCATCAACCGCTTCCCGTACTCACCAGGTTGTTCCCCCGTAATATTGTTTACTTCCCAAGTTGAAATTGAGGATAAAAGGGCAATAGTATGAGTCAATAGAAGAGAATGAAGCGGCTGTAACATAGAAACTTAAAAGTGTTGAAATGGAAGCATTCCAGAAGGTATTTATGGTCTTGTATACTCAATCCAAACATTGTACTAGATTGGGAGAAGACTATGCAGGAGCTTAAGAAAAGTATTGTGTATCCTTTGTGTTGCATGATCAGGGTGTGATCAATCTTGGAATTTTTCATTACACTATGTATGAAAACTATACAATGAGATGTAAGTTAATAAATTCAAAGTTTATATATATATGTAAATTTATATGTATATGTATATCAATTTTTCACAAAGACCAAAAATTGAAATTCATAGATCATTAATTTCAAATAATCCTACAAATGCAAAAAAAGCATTTAAAAATGTTAAAACCAATACACTTCAACCAAGCAACTTTTCGGGTGAACTATTTTAAATAAAATACATTGAAATGTGCATTGGCGTATTCTGGATACAGAAAAGCAAGGATTTTTGTGGAAGAGAGATTTCAATTGATTTCGCTGTTCCTCCTCCAAGTGGCATTGAAGTTGATTGAATTTCTCTTCTGTTTTGTTCTTTTTTCTTTAATTTTCATTGATTTTTTTTAATTGGGGTATTGCTTGTTTGAAGTGTTTCGGTTTTAACATTTTTTAAATTCCTTTTTGTCTATTTGAAATTTATTACTTATGAATTTTAATTTTTGGTCTATGTCAAAAATTGGTTCTATATTTCTTTCTCTATACCTTTACTGGTAGTGTTTTAGCTTAGTGCACGAAAATACTATGCATGATTTTATTTTAAAAATTTTATGTAACTATATATATAAATTTGTAATATATGTACACACAAATAATAAGCTCTATAATTAAAATATCATAATACGGGACTACGGGAGCAGAAAAGGTAGGTTAGTAAGTAAAGCACATAGCAAAGTCAACTGAAATTAGGTTAATAATTATTGCGAAATTCTCAGGCGTATAATGAAAATTACTATATTTTTATTGAAGGAATTTTGTAATATCTAATGATTTTAACACACATGAAATTTATAATAAAGATAAATATTTCTAAATACTTTTATCTATTCTTCTTATTTAACAAATGGAAAAGAACTCTGGTTTTACTAATCGTTCTATTACAAGTCTTACAATTCGAAGTAGACGACGCTTGTAAATTTATGATAAATCATCTGTATGAAGTAGAATCTTGGACGTTATTTTAAAAGTCCTAAATATTTATCTAGTTTGTATCTTAGAAACAGCTTCATTTGTTAACTCCTTATGTTAGAAATATTTTCTGGTAAAATAAATTATCACATGCCATCATAGCACATCCATTTAGTCATCAGTAACTTCGTAATTTAAACCCAAATAAAAGGAAAGTTAAATTATCACGTTTTTTCAATTTCCTTAATAGACTCTACAGTTG